CTCTGGCACTGTCTGATCTTGGGGACGAGAGGAAGATGTTCTTGATCGGTACCCACGTGGCAGAGGATGGCTCCGAGATCTCCTCCAGCATGAAGGATGCCAAGGAGCTGATAGTGCAGCTGGTTTCGGAAACACAGTGACAGCTCTTTTCCTACAGCGTGGTATTGCGGCTGAGGGAGACGAGGTGTTAGGGTATGGTCAGTTTGCCATGTAGCGACTGAAATGTACAGATATCTTTTCCTTGTGGGTGTGGAATTCCTCTGAAAATGATGTCTAGTTGGTAAGAAAATCTAATTTATAGTGATTTGAAAATACCTTTGAAAAGTAGTCTGGTTTTTAGTGTATTTGTAGGGGAAAATTAGTCTCTGGGACAGCAGAGTTAAGGGGTTGTGTAGCTTAGATGGGCTGAGAGGGCTGCTTGCCAGGTGGGAATCGCACATTGACTTCAGTGGAACAAAGTTGTGTCCAGTGAATTTAGCCTGGCTTGACATCTCAGGCTGAAATTGAAATGAGTTTGCTTCACAGGTTTTACAGAACCCTGTTAACAGTGTTGTCCTGTTAAAAATGGGACCTCACTTCTTGACAGTGTTAGAAATTTAAACTGCTGCGACGGGTATTTTTGACAGTGACCGTTTTTCTTGTTGCTGTATTGGAGACAGTTTTTAAGGGAGTGGCAAATTAATCTCTGGAAATTGGGTTGGTTACTGCCGCTTTAGTGGGTAAGAACAAGAAAACGAAAGCAGTAAGCCATACTGTTTCTTTGCCTACAGGGAGAAAAAACAAAACTGTAATTCAAGGCAGTGACTGGAAGCATTTAAGTTAAATTGGCACCAAGGGTGGGAGACTCCTCCATCAGGCTGCGCGGCCTATTTCGGTTTAGAGCAAGCAGCCCTAGGTGCGAAAGGCCTGTTTTTTGGAAGTGACTTCTGTAGCACAGCAGCAGGTGAGGAAGGTGCATTGCTGACAATGTCACCCTCCCGCTGCCCTCGCAGTTATACCCCAGGAATGCGATCCAGGAGCTGCTCCGTTTTACAACCGCGTTGGCTGTATGAGGGTTTTACAGTTTTGTCCTGCGGAACCGATGCATAAAGCAGCATATTTTACCCAAACCAGTGGTCCAGGCTTCATTTCCCCGCGCACGGAGCGCCGCAGGCCGCCCGCAAG